AGCGCGTCAAAAAATTAGCATCCTAAAAGATGAATGGGATAATGTAAAAGAAAGTGAAAGAGATAAAGTTTGGGACACTATACATGTATATCTCTAATTGTTAGTAAATTCATATCTACTTTTCAAAGTTATTATTTTCATATCATATCTATTTTTTGTTGTATTTAATTATCAATTGTTACTAAATTCATTATTGACATTTATTATTTTACAAATTACTTATGACATACCTAACACTTTTAAGCATAAGTGGCTTTCATATGTTGTGAGTCGATGGAAGGATTTTAAATCCAAACATACTAGAGATTATGTGTTTCCTAAAGTTGACAGTAAAAATAAAGATGGTAATGACAATGATAGCAACAAACAACAATCATGAGATAAGTATTCTCTCATTGATTATAAAACATAGATAAAATTTTTTTGAAAATAGATATGATCCTAAATTTTTGGTAAGTGAAAGAAAAATAAATATTCAATTGTTGTTATTAAATTCTTATTTTTAATAAATATTTTTTATTGTGTTTTTTAATAGGAAAAAAGTAAAAAGGCTTAAGAGCATCGAAAGAAAAACTTATACAATCATACCATATCTCGAGGAGGATATAAACATGTTTATGATATAATGCTTTCAGAGAAGTGGGAAGTTAAAAAACAAGCAACAGAGATTGATGATATTAGAGGCATTTCCTCTCCATCTCCTATTAGTCGTGCTAAAGTGTGGAAGAGAGGGCGAATGAATAAAAGGGAGAGTTTATTACTATTGAGACTAAAGAAGTGGCTGCAAAGATTATAAGTATTTTAATAGTTAAAATTTAAATTATAAAATTTAAATATACTAATTACATTAGTTGCTTGCATGTTCTAGGATTCTTTTATAGAAACAGCCTCTCAAGAGACCTTTACATCTACTAGAAGGAAGGATATATTGACCACAATCTTGGAGAGTGAAGAATATCCTAACCGTGTTAAGGGAGTTTCAAAAGGGGTGGGTATAAAATAATATTTTAGATCACCACTCTCTAACAATGTACTGATACAACAAGTGGAAAATATGATAATGGAATATAAATCAAGCTTGATGATGGAAATGTAATCAATGATCAATTCCATGCATGTGCAATCTTAACAAGCACAAAAATATGGCGGTGTTTCGTAGCCAAAGAATGATCCTAACCTTTAAGATCAAGGATTGCCATGCATAATTTATTTGAAAGATCATGTAAAATGTATAGTTGTATATGAAAAAGTGTATAACTATTAAAATATAGTCTATTGCCAACAGTTAGAATATAATCAAGTAAAGATCATTGTTAAATTGGTCATGGATGCCAATGCTCTTGCGCTATTTTCTATTGAGGAGGTGCAAACAATAGGACAAGCTCAACAGACTTTTATTATTTAGTTAAGAATGCTTGTTCAACAAGTTCTGAAGAAGTATGAAAACTTTATAATTTTGAATATTTCTTAATTAATATGGTAGATATTTCTAATTTTAATTATATATTAATAAGAAACTTCAACAATCAAAAGAATCATTAGGTTTCAATCCTTAACGATGTGAGATGACTTGAAACAATTAGCTTTCGTGATTATTGACTTGAATGAATTTACTGATAAAATACAAGTAAGTGAGAACATTGTTAGAGAGGATATTACTTTTCAAGTCGCCATAAAAGATATTAATGATCTCGTTATTATGAAGTGGTTGGACGTATCAATAATGTAAGTTTTTTATCATGTAAGTGTTTATTTTTATTTCTAATTTAATATTCATTATTTTTATTTATTGTTAATATTTTTTTATTATCAATGGTTCCTCCACAAAATGTGCAACCAACTTGATGTTAGTCATTATTATGGATTCTTATCCCTACTCTTAACATTAGTTAAAAAACCAAATCAAAAAACATTTTACATTGGAAATGCTATGGATAAATTAAAGAAGAGGTGTTTTTTTGCACCAATTGTTGAAAGGTATTAAACATCTAATTCATCTTTCTATTTATAAAATATTTGCATAATTATGTAATATTAATATAACATAATATTTTGTAGTAATAATTGAATGCTTCCTATCATTTATCCATTTGAAAATACTATGTATTGGTTATGTTTATAACAATAGAAAGTAAGTGACGAAATGAAAGCATCGTTTGAATAGTAAGTTTTTTGAATAATTATTTTTTGTAATATTATTAGCATCTTTTAATATATTCTGAGTATGTATATTTGATAAATAGATCTTTACTTAATTATTGGAGGATAAGGGATATAGTTGACAAGAAAAAAAAATCAAGTGGTTGTGTATGCAAGTAAGTATTTTTAAATACTTTCCTAAATCAAAATAAGATTATAATATTGATTTGATTAATTGAATTGGTTTTAATTTTTTCAATAGTGTGCTTGACAACCAGAAAGTGTAGAGTGTGGTTATTATATGATGATTTTCATGTATGAAATCATCACTTGAGGCATTATCCACTCATTTCAGAAGGTAATAATTTGTTTAAAAACAATTTACATTGTAAACTTTGCCCTATACTTGAATTAATATTAATGCATATATTTTTATTAATATGCAGCATTTTAACAATTTAGAGCCATTTTTCAAACAAGAGCTGAGATATATATGGAATATGTGATTTACTTACTTTCTAAAATTGATAAGTTAGAGTATATAATTAGATAGATATTTGTATTAGATATGTAGAAATTTTAATGGATATGTCTGTAATTATCTGTAAAATTGCTATTTGTGTATAAATGCAAGCTTTTGTAAGTAAGGAATTTAAAGCATATGAAATATGCATTCTTTAGAATAAAGACACATACCACGACAACTGTGTATCAAACTGTGGTAAAATATATCTTTTCACAACAATTATAATCAAAATTGTCTTGAAAAGTATCCTTAGAATTGTTGTTTGCAGATCGTTTTTCACAACAGTTGTTATTATAATTGTCACAAAAAGTTAAGGTTACAATGACAATTATATCAATAATTATCATTGTATGTTTTATATTTTCGCCACAGTCCCTCAGGAGATTGTCGCAAAAGGTGTCAACTTACAACTACACATGTTTCTATTACACTACTTCTTGTGTCACGAAAGGTGATTTTCAACTGTCGCGAAATATGCTTTTTGTACTAGTACTCACAAGTTGTAATATTAAAATACTCCCTTTTTTTTAAATATAAGGCAATGTATCACCATAAAAGAAAAGATATTCAAGTCATTTCATAAATCATATAATCTGTGTATTTACTATTTAGATGGTGGCTCCTCAAAAATTATAGTATCAAAACTATCATTGGAAGCTTGTTAGGCAAGCTAATCCACACATCTTTTAGCTTTTTTATACGTATGCTTGAATGTGACCATGCCAATATCCTTGATCTTGTTGACTGTATTAACAACGGGATTGTGTGTGGCAAGGTTACTTTAAATGAGTGCGAGAGCTTCAAGAGAATCCAAGTAGTTTTTGACTTTGGAGAAACCGTACATCCAACATAAGTTGACACTCTTGAGGATATCTAAAAGTTTAGTGTTAATACAAGTATAACAACCAATATATCTAGATTTTTAATCTATGGTTAACTTTACATTTATGTGATCCAAAAAATTATATTGCAAATGTAACAATAAATGAACAAACCTTAACCAGTCGAATGGTCACCTCGAAGAAAAAAGTAATTTGATTCAATCATTTAACCTATTATAGTTGTTGACTTAGGTTAGTTTGTCGTGACTCGTGGAGCCTTTGAAAACTCGATAAAAATCCAAAACTTAGAATTATTAAATCATTTTTCCTTGTTATTATTATTTCAATAATAATTTTTTTATTCAAATTTAAAATATTAATGTCGATTTACTTATGGGTTATTATAGTAAAATCTGGAGTGTATAACTTTTTTATTGACATTATATTAATGAAAGTAGAGAGAAAATTTAAAACTTATTTGCTTTTAAAAGAACAAATAAAGTAAATAAAAAGATACACATATGAAAAATAAAAAATTAAAATTAATATGTTATAACTAAATAACTCTAAATTGAGATTGATATTATCAATATTTTAAATATTTTATCAATAAACATGCACATAAATATTATTTTTTATTTAATTATAATGTTACTGGCTCAATCACAGGTACAATCAATTAAATAATGAAAATTGAGACTCACTAACCATTCTAGTTTGTCATCTAGCTTGATTTTGAAAACATTATTACTAGCTCAAATTATTTTTTTGTCAATTAGTTAAATTTGATATTAATATGAGTATTGAAAATGATACAAAAAATTATTTATTTAAAATTAAAAGGATTAATTTTTAAATAACATAAAAATTTATAAGATGAGATTTTTTTTGAGATTGTATGAATAGGAAAAACTTATATAATTAAGGTGCTTGTTTTTAACTAAATCAAAACATGCAAATTTTTTATATATATTATATTTTATAACAAAATCTTGTCATTAATTCTAAAAACATATTAAAATTTATTTGGTTTGATTCAATTGAATAAAATTATATTAAATATGTAAGGTTAAATACTTAAGTCTTATTTCTATTATTTTTTTGTCGATACTATTTATAAAAATAATTTATTATTTAGTTATTTTATTTTTGTATATCTTTACATTTTAAAAAATATACACAGTATTGAGAATTTTTTAATCCACAGGTTTTGTGGGCCCCGCGGACAGATTTTTGTGGAAGTGGATGGTTCCTGTGGGGCGCAGGGTTAAACTCTTCTGTCCCTGACTATCACAATACCAACGGAGGGTCCACAACTAATAGGATTTTCGGTTTACACGGTTGGAGATGAGCTTGAGAGCCTCAAACAGAAAAGCGGGGCATGGCACACCCTATTAGAACCCGATACCCAGAAAAGTCCAAGAGTGAAGGCTGACTTTTGACTGCGCCAAGCAAGCAGGGATGTTCGTCCTTTCCGGGGCTCCATCCTGGATTTTCAAGTCCGTTTTCATAAATTTTATTTATTCTCAGAACTTTCTGGATTAAACAAATGGATGGCAGAAAATCCGATTTTTCAGATTTTCATTGCCACCCAAAATCCCATTTGCGGAAAATCAAAATGTCGAGGATTTGAGGTCCAGGGAAGGATAAGTCCATGGTGGCGTGACGGAAACACGAAGGGAGGGGAATTTTGGTTTCAGTAACTCCTTCTCCAATACGGGTAGCTCTGAGCCATGGTGCTCAAACTTTGCTTAATGGCCTCTCATGGTTACCCTCCAGGGCTTGTCTTACAGCATGAGCTAGGCTTGGGCTGCACTTTGAAGGTAAAATCTGGTTTATGGGTCGAATCTTTGATAAATTGACTTTTCGTTGGCCTGTTGTCGATGAATTTTAGAGTCAGACAGAGTATAATAATTTTTTCATCTGAATCAACTTAGTTCAGTTGATTTTTCTACTTCTTGTAGGCGGTAAGGCCATCTAACTGAGTAGTTTGGACATTCGCGTATGCGTCATGTTCTGATTAATTTTATTTGGTTTGATGTTGCTTAAAACAGGGTTTTCAGCCATTACTGCCCTCACCCAAGGCAAAACCAGAAATTATCAGATGTCCTTCTCCTGCACTAAAGCCAAATCCATGTGAGGAATCACGGAAATCCCAAAGTGAATGTTTCAATTCCAATCAGTTTGTTAATACTGACTTAGCAGCTCAAAAGCCCATGCTTAACGATGTCCAAGGTGTGCAGATGATTAAGTTGTGTATTTGATCCTACCGTTACATGGCATATATTTACAGAAGATTATTTGATTGCATCCATATCTTGGCCGAGCACTCGGAAAGTATGTGGAATATACCTACACGCGCTTTTTAAATTTGAGCGCTCTTCTCTGTTTCCTTTCGCTTGATGACTTCTAAAATCACCAAGATTCTGTAACTTCTCCCCACTCTTGCGCTGGATGCTGTCTGTGTTTCTCTTTTTTATGGCCTTTTCATCATTCCATCACAAGTTAAATCAATCATGATGTGTCAAAATGTTCCATTCAATTGCTAAAATACGAGAGTAATGTCCCTTCGGGGACATCTGATAAAATTGGAATGATGCGGAGAAGATTGGCGTGGCCCTGCTTAAGGATGACACGCACAAATTGAGAAATACGAGAGTAATCAGCATATGTTGATTTGTTCTAATAGATGTCTTTGGTTTACTGCTATCATGATGCAGAAAACCACAGAATAAGAGATGACAATCTGGTCTATCAATTTTACCATGCTTGCTTCTTGTCGTTGAATAGAATCTTCAGTATGACTCGTACTGTTTAATTCATTTTGCTTTTGCATGTTATGTGTCTTGTTCTGTACAATCTCACTTATCTTTGCTTGCAGCAACCTGCCCAGACGCAGTACTTTTTGGCTTTGGAATCGTTGAAAAATGCACTAAGCATGACAAAATAGTGCAGTTCCTTAAGTCTGGTGCTTCTGAAGCAGAGATAAGAGATGAGTGTATATCTTTGATGTCTGATTCAATGGATTTTCAACTGCTGGGAACTCATGTGCCTCAACAATCATTTTCAACTTCTCTTATCTACCCAAATAGCCAAATCGATATCCGGAGGTTTTTGTTAGATTTTATTGGAGACTCTGCCTTTTTGTCAAACATTTTAATTCATCCTGATGGTCTTGTCTCATTCTTGGGTACTGGGAGTGAGATGAAGGATTTTCTTTCTGTAGTTGCTGAATCATGCCTGTCAAAAAGCTCATGCAGGGGAGAAAAGCATTCTCTGCTTGTTCCACATCTCAGTAGGTATGAATACACAAACCTGTTGAACCTTTGATCAATATGGCATGAATTCCTGTCTGTTCAGGCTTCCAAAGAACTATTTGACTTACTGAGCATTTCTTTTTCTTAGTAACTTCATCATTCTTTGTGCATAATGATGGTTTACTTTTCTTTTTTAACTTCGTAGATCTTTGGATTGGCATAATCTTAATTAGATTTGTCATTATTCATCCCTGAACCAGTTATTTTTTCATGTTAGGATTTTTTATGTGATTAAACTTATAGGACAATTAATTATTTGGTTCTTATAGATTTTCTTAGATTCCAATTTGGTCCTTATATTTTTTGGCCCAAAATCCACCACTACATTTTCTGAACCTCAGGAGTTGGTCCACAAACTTTGATTTGTTGATCACTTTGTTTGGTCCTTGCTAAGGTAGTTGATAGAAAGTAGACATGGCAGATGAAGTGGACATCATTTGCCAATCTGTAGGTTCATGAGTACCCAAGTAGGATAACCTTCTACTAGAAGTTAGCCATTTAAGCGAAAGAACTAATTCACCTGAGCATGCAATAGATGAACTAATGCTATTCAATGTGCAATTAGGCATCCTCTATTATTTTGGTCTCTATCAATTGATTGTCCTTGGAGAGCTGATTTACTGACTGCTGCATTTTATTATACACTTCACTTGACTTCTTTACTAGTGAGAATCCTAAGCAAACAGCCATCCTTGATTCCAAATTTTGGAGCTATTGAGGTGAGAGGACCAATCTACTTAAATACTTAATAGAGCAGCCTATGTTACTACAATTAGGCATCCACATACTATCACTATCACTGATTAACTAAATACGGTAAGAATTAACCTAAGCATGCTCTGTGCAGCCTAGAGCCACCAACAAACAAGGACCATACACGTTTACAAGATGCCCAAACCTGTGAAATTTCAAGATCACCGTTTCAGTCAAATCAGAATCTTTTGCTAGAATTTTGGCAGTGTACCTTTGTGATAAGATTGAAGCTGCTGACAGTCACTGATCCAAAATATGCTAGTAATCCATCTCGACTCCTGAAACTTATCTAAACAGAACGCGGCCAGATTCCAGAATGGTGCCATGATCAGCAACTACCAATAGCTTGAGATCATTATGATAGTTTTGCATTGTCTTTCTGAGCAACCTTTGCCTCATATAAGGGTTAGAATTTCTTTTCCCCATCACCTCAAGAGATCCATTAGTAATTTCCATGCTCTCCATACCACAGACCGTTCTGCTTTAGGAATATCATTGGTCATCTGATCAATTTCTCCAACCTCCATCTGCCCACTTGTATGTAGAGCTAGCAATCCCTAAAGGAATGCATCATGGGCTTTTCTCACTACTAATTTACATTTTTCACATCATGTATGCAGGCAGAATGGCTGCCTCGGAGATAGGGAGATTTTGTCAAGATCTTAATCAACTGCTAGAGTTTTCACTAAGGGACCCCTGTCAAACTGGTATTAACCCTTCTGAGCTAGATGTCTAGTTACATTAGCATAAACGAGTAGGAGAACAAACAATGCTATTTTGGTGGAAGAATAATCCAAGAGCATCCAACATTGCCTAGCAACATCTCCACCAATGTGTCCTCTCACAGGAACGGCTTAGGAAGCTGAAATGCATTTCTCTGTAACTTCATCAGCCCCATGTTTTTCCATGTAGCAGATCTTTAGTCTTTGATTCTTACATGGTGTGTGTCTCGAACTTGGCAAGTGATACTTACCTTTTGTCCCATGTCAACTTTCTATCAACAGCTTCAGCAAGGATCAAGTAAAGTTGTCTCGCAATGAAACGTTAGATACCCTATCTCTTAAGGTTTGGAATATACAGCAACAAATTTGGAAATAGCAATGTAGGGGCCAAATTGAAACTGAATAAACTACATGACCAAATGATTAATGTAGACATTTTCTAATGCAAATTGGTTTAAACAATTGCTCGAGTCTACACATTTACACATTTCTTTAATTTGATTTTTCCTGTAACTTTTCGTTTTAGCATTGAGTAAATTACTAACATATCATTTACATGTTTAAATTCCCAGATAGCGCTCTGTTGTTAGTTTTGAAACAAAAAACTAACTTCAACTGGGATTTCTATATTGACAGGCTGGTTATCAATGAAGCAGAGGTCAGAACTCATTCCTCCCTGTTGAAGACTCAATCTACATTGGCTGCTCCTTTGAAGAGGTATGCAAGATAAACTCCTTAAATAGCTATCCTATTTCCCAAGTTTGGGATATGATATTCTGATTCACAGCGTCATGATTTATCTTATTCTTCATTTATGTTTGCATTAAAGTCCGTTGGCATTAGTCAGGTATGATTAAAAGTTAATTCAGAAAGCCAAACAAATGTACTTATTGCAAAAGGATTTAGGCTATATTTGTTTCAACATTTTGTACCTCCAAAACTTGCGTTTTCCCAAAGGCAATAAATTGTTGCTTTTGGGAAATTATACATTTTGGGGCACCGAAACAGAAAAGCAAACATGCTATTAGACGACATTTGAATGCAACAAGGGAATAGTCGTAGATGATTTTCAAAAAGAAGAGAAAGGCTAACTGATATCTTGTTCTGGTTAACCAAAATTGTAACGGAAAGAAAAAGAAAATCAGTTGCTAAATTTCCATATGTCCTTTTACTGTAATCCAAGCCCCCAAAGTCCAAGCCCCCCCGTCTTCCAAAAGACAAATGCTGTGTTTAGAAGTTGAAAAATCTAAGTTGGTGATATAATTTCTTTTCAATGCCAAGATGTTTGCATAGGTATGGAAAATGAATGGTCTTTCAATATGATGATGTTGAGGTGTCACGGTCAATCACATAATCAGCTGCGCTATTACTTTCATTTGTGTTGAATGTATCTTCTCCTGATAAGAGCAAGTCTCATTTACCGAGTATATCATGTCCATAGTAATTTCTTGTTCAAGAAACATTTTGTATATATAATATAATGCGTTGCCACTTTCATACCAGTCCTGAGAAACTTAAGGTGAGGCCATCACCTAAGAAGAAGAAGAAAGTAGGGAGGGAAAGGGATCTCTACAAAAGAAATTATTTGCATGCATGTGAGAGTCTTCTGTCTTTAATAATGGACACAAAGCACCGCCAAAAAACAGCAATTCATTCGCTGAAGAAATCTGGCCCTGAACTTCCTGAGCTCCTTGCTCAATTTAGTGCGGGCATTGCTGGGACTGGCCTAGCAGTACTCCTATCTGTCGTATGGAAGGTAACGTGTGGAGGGGTACCCTTCTGTGCATCTAAGCTTTTCACCACTGGTTTTGGATTTGGACTTGTGTGGCTTTCATGGGCTGTCAATAAGCTAAGAGACACAATTGCCGGCCTCAGCAAAAACACAGGAAAATTGGGTTTGAAAGAATCATCGAATTCAAAAGATGAGGAGATTATTCGGAAGCTGGATAAGAACATAAGAGACATCTACTTCAGAAGTGCATCATTGCTAGCTGTGGCAGTGCTAAGCCTTGCTTGAGCATCATTTCCATTGGTGAAGTTACAATTTGCTTGAACAGAAGATAGCGCGATGCCATTCACTGGGGAGTGCTTGGAACCACCTTCGGGGTCTGCAACTCTATCTTATCATGATCTTCATATGCATGTTAATTATGTAGTTTTGGTTATTCTAGACCGTAGCATAAGGATTTGGTGTGCTGCTGGTAAGTAACACTGTACAGCGTAATGTAGGCAGTTGCAATGGAATCAAATGACGGATTTGTTGAAAACCTTATGGTTTTTGCCATTCCACATGCCAATTTTTGAGTCTGGATCCCTTGGTTTGAGTGAAAATATAATTTGTTCGGACCTGACACAATCCATAGGGCGTGGTTTAGTTTACCCCACTGCATGATGCAGAAAAATTTTAAACTTGAGTTGAAGTTCTGGAAATAAACAAGCAGGTTGTAGAATCCAGAGGCTGCGTGCAAACATTCCTGGGTTTCTCTTCTAAGAATTTATCTTTGTAATTTTCTTATAGACGTACTCTCGTCTGGGATTGTTGTCTCACCGGCAACTATTTGTCGGCCGTAGTTTTTTAATCAATAATGAAAGACTTAGTGCGTTAGATATGCACTGAGATTTGTTTGTAAAACAGTACATGAAGAGAGCGGGCTTGTGAACATATGCAATGATGAAGACGACAAATTCTGCCCTACAAAAATGACAATGTAGACTCAATGTCATCCGTCGCAGCCGCTAAGCATTTAAATTTAATTATCAAACTGTTTGCACCTTTGCATCTAAAAGGTATTTCCTTCCTTAAAAATATAAAATATTTTTAATTAAATTTTATCTTTTAATAAATTATTTATTTCTCTTTAAATTAATTATATCTTTTATATTTATTTGTATTTAATAAAGTGTTTTACACTCTAAAATAAACAAAAAATAATTTAATCAATAGAGATATTTGAAAAAATAATAATAAATTACACATTGAAAGATATATTTTTTAATATTTAATCTTTAAAAAAATATCTTATGGGAGTAATAGTTGGATGTCAACTCTCAAGCCTCCAATTCCTTTCCAGATGTGTTGACTAAAGCTGAATAAAACGTTACCATCTCAGCTTCGGCACTTTTGACACCACACCTCCACCAACAGTTTTCTGCCTCCTTCTCTCAAGGCTAACCTTTATCCTGTAAAATTAAACGGCAAACAGAAAAGCATTTGGGATATTCAAAGCAGCAATAACATTACGTTACAAGACTAGACCAGTAATGTACCGTGAGGAATTAGCAGAAATTATTCTAGCTGTTTTGTTAAGCAAAACAAGATCAAACATAATGACCAAGAGGTGAAATCAGTTCAAGTTCAAATTCTGTAGTAACGTTGTCCTGGGCATAATCATCTCAACATTATCTGGCAATACAACTTTGCCGGTGGTATCACCAAAAAGCGGTGTGTCGCCCATCTCCATCTTTTAGACATAAATTTCTGCCCCCCATTTCTTGCAAGTTTTCCAAGAACCATGCCTAAGACTAAATGATGATCATAATCCCAATGAATTTAGAAGCAAAACATACTATTTGGTAGACTAAACAAGAAAGTAAATTGGTTAGTCTTTCTATACATGAAAATAACAGCTATGTCAAGACAAAGCATCCTAGCTTCCTTTGTTATATCTTGAGAAGGGTGACATCTGTTATCACTCCTTTTGACTAAGTTTATGGCCACCGTACAGTAGGGGAAAACTTATATTCTCTTCATCCTTTGCCTCAGAGCTTGAGTCCTTAAATGATTCCCTTGATTTCTGTGATGGCTGGTGGAAGGGCGTCTAATTTAGCATTGAAACCCACAATCCAATCTGTTTCATTATCCCTTGCCACTCCTCCACGCGTACAAGAAATCAAAAAACGAATCGCAGTTCCTTACAAAAAAAGAAAAAGAAGGAGAAGAAGAAAAAGAATTTAAGTTGTAAATGTAACTTTTTCCAGATAATTATTATATACGACATTGTTATATGTTTATGAGAATGAAAAAAAAAAATGACATGTTCAAATCTGAAAATGTTTGAGCTCTCATGGCAAATTTTTGCAATTTACATTTCTAATGACCACTAATTTTAGTTGTAGTTTTATGTTTAAGAAGCAATGGAAGCTATGCACATGGCTAATATATGCATGTAAGATGCTTTCAATCAAAAATATTCTGAAATCTTTTCTTATGAAATTCTGGATAGCATACAATGGTACCGTTTAGTCCATGTAGACAACTCAATCTAGTGAAATAAGGTTTATTATTACTTTCTTAAGTATAAGAAGTGATACTTGGAGGGCTATGAACATGGCTGATGCATGTAAAATGGTTTTAATTAATCTGAATTGCTTTCCTTGTGGCTTGTACACATGTTCTCTTGGACTTTCATGTTGGAATGAAGCTTCAGGTTGGCAGCAGGATTTTTGTGGATAATAGTAAGCCAGCTCTCGAACTTAAATTTCAAGGCCTTACACTTACCTGCCTCTAGAATGCAGTATTTAATATTCTCGCTTGTCTTTTAGGGTGTGTTTGGTTCCTCCCCTCCCCTTCTTTGGTTAGGAGGAGGGAAGGGGAAATTTTTAAAATTTTTCCTCCCCTCCCCTCCAAATTGGGGGGAGCTCCCCTTCCTCTCCTTCCCCTCCCCCCCTCCCCTTCCCTCCCCTCCTTTTCCCTTAAATCAAACACATTCTTATTTTTTGGTTTACTGTATACGGTAAACATTGATATTTGAATATCTTGGAAAGCCAATTAATTCCATACATAGGGCTCGAATTTGCTTGAGAGAAAACAACTATTAAGTAAACATTGGAGAGGAATACAATGGGTAAGGAACATGATTCTTGTAATCTTGTGGATGGCTGACTAATATTGCTATTGCCATTTTTTGAATTGAATGGGCTAGCTAGCTGTTTTTCTGAAGATGAAAATTGAGACCATCCACATGTACACATGTAATGAAGCTTTCATATTCACGTTTCATGCTGCCAATTCTCACCATTCTGTCATATTCTCATGATCTCATCTCCACATCCTTTCCTTACGCATAGTGTCACTACGTAAGCATGGATTTGTTGGTGTTCACGTATAGGACCATATATCACTGGTGTGTGAAGCTTAATTACTCCAAATTTGAATATGATCGTGAAAATAATGTAGAAGTTTGAAGCGAACACGATGAAAAGATTAAAAACACTAACAGTAAAAAGGCCTGAGAATTCACAGGTTGTAAGTGTGAACGTGAGGAAAATGAATTAGAAGAACAGCTGGAGTCAACAGACGCTGCATACAAGTGATTGGAATATATTCCTCTTGTCTTGTCCCCTAGGGATGTTACCGAAAAACATTGATTTAGATTTTATATATACATATATCTATATATATATATATATGTATATGTTCATTACACAATATAATGGTTGGTCAGGTGAAAATGACTAGATGGTTGCCTCTTTCTGAACACGATGGTTAAGTGGAAGCACCTCTCTCTGTGAGAGAGAGAGAGAGAGAGAGAGAGAGAGATGCTACAGTAAAATTCCGATGCTAACGAGTAGGAATACTGTTGAATTCATTGGAATATTGTTATTATATATCGAATGCAAAGTGGAAAGAATTCGAAACGTGATTCTTAGGAATTAAACAGCAGATTATGGACCAATTCTACTATCATAAGCTTGTTCACATTCTTCCCGAACAGAAAATGGCCAATGGGGCACAAATAACACTACTAATTACAATATGAGTTCAGCATCATTGTATTCCACCACCCCATCCAGAAAGCTATTATATATATATATATATATTATTCTCATGTGAGGTTTTTTTTTGGTCAGTTCTCATGTGAGGTTTGATTATTCATACACCTGTGCTGTGGGAATTCAACTAAGTAAGGTTGCTGAATCTGATACCACCTACTTGAAGAAATACATGAGCACCTCGTGGCTATAATTCTCAGTGGACGACACAGTTTACTTACCCAGGGCTGCTATGTACAGTTAAATCCTCATTATGTGATAGTTTTGATTATTGTAAGCAATTTTTTAATGAAAATTAAATGAGAACTAAAATGGGGGACAGCAAGCAACGATGGAATCGATGCCCTTCCAATCAGTCCCATCGCATCTTATAGCAGAAAGAAAAGGTGCCAAAGGTTCTATATCTCCGTGTATCATCCTCGTTCCTTGCCCTGGTTGTTAAGAATCTTATCTTGGTAGTGATTATTTCTACAATCACAATCCATTCCCACAAGGATCATATTTCAAGGAAAGGTGGATTTATATATATGTATGTATGTATGTAAGTATGTATGTGTGATTATTCTCTTCTATAGTATAGGGTTTTGTCCTAAAACCAACGAATATTGGAGTGTTGAGTAAAGCTGTCCATCCATAACGTTGAAAAAATATAACGTATTTAGCAAGTTCAAGCCAACCCATGCGGGACCTATAACACTTTCCTAAATGTACAGAAGAAACTAGCAATGTGTAAAAAAGATATCGATATATAGCAAATAATAAAATTAAAGTGATTCCATGCTTTTGTGCAGAGCTCAAAATATTTACCCTATTTCTCAAGAACGTGGACTAAATCAACACATGAATCTTCTCTATATCTTTCCTTTTTCATACCGAGATGGTGAAGGCAATTGAGGTCTATAAAACTCTCAGGTGTGACACGCTGCTTGTATACTTGAAGTTGGCCCCTTAATTAATAGTGCTGTGAAGGATCTCAGCATCAGAAGAAGAAGCTCTACTTCATCTCTTCCATGGAAAGAAACAACGGCTCTTCCTCAAAGTATTTCACGTGCAAGAAAATGCGACAAGCACTCTCAACATTTCCTTCTTTTCGAGGCATCAACAATCGCCTCTCGCAGCATCGCCAGCACTCCAAAACTGTGGCCATTGATTCAAACTCTCCACCATCTTCCCCTGTGAGAACGATTCATATTCAAACCAAACCCACCACCTCATCAAAGCTTCATCAACCTCCCAGACTACTTAACCCAGAAGAATCATCAGAAGCTATACCTATCAAGTTCGATTACTCAACCCAGCAACAGTTGAAAAGAAGGACATGAATAAATTGTTCGAAGACTTCATACAAAGAACGAAAGACAACTTCAAGACGGTGTCGAATGCTGGTAGGGGTCAGGGCGAAGCCGTAGCAGATGACAAGGATAATAAGGATCATGGTGTCAAGAAGAAGGACAACCACAGAGAGCATTTCTCCAATTTCATACATGTTGCTAGG